GCAAGGATATTCCGTTTGGCATCAGTTGTACTATTATTGGCAACTTTATCGCCTGCACCAGCAAAACGGAAAAGTACCGAAATGTGTTTTATGAAATAATTCAGGATTTATGACCGTAATGCAATCACCGTAATGGAATCAAAAATTTATTTGTCTGCTTTATTCAAGTTTTGTAATTATCATGTGAAGAATTCCCTTAAATTGTCAGTTGACATTTTTTCGTTCTCAGAACCTCTCTCTCTCTCACTTTGTTCACAATTGGTAGCAATATTTTCTAGGTTTAGAACAATACTATAGATTTCACTATCGTTTAGCTGATTGATGATTAGGACACTATCATCACAATGAAAACTTCTGTTGTATCATCTTTATTACCACTTCTTCAAGACTTTTCCACAAATTCCATTAAATTGAGAAATTTTGTTTCTTGTTTGCAATATCTGAAAACATTCAAATTTGTATGTAGCATCATAAAGCTTAGTTAGAGCTTGCTACACACTACAGGGGATGTGTCGCAAGATTGACAATGTTGTTCCACTAAATTTTGTCTTGCTTCTCTCGCACACTGATGAAGTTAAGCCTGAATTAAATTAGTTTAGTTAATTATTATACTTATGCCTATTTCTCCCACATACTTAAAGTTTACCTGAGTCTTGAATAAAAAAATTCCCACATATACTTAAGTTTTATCTAGGGCTGATGCTAGACATTTTGCAGTCCAGTGCAGTCTCTATGTGTTCTAAATTCTGCTGCCAAGCGCCTCGCTACATTTTAAAAAAGCTGATGTGCACACCACATGATTTCCTTGCACAGAATATTAAATTATATGCATTTTTTCCTGCAATTCATTTAAACTTATGTCCTTGAATTTCATTAGAGATATATTTCTCATTCAATTATATATATTGCCGCATGGGTCATTTCTCAAGCTTCTGTGTATTGATAATCATGTGGTGATGAAAACAAAAAACAATAAATAATGATTTGCCAGATTGGCCAGAAGTATACATTATCTAAAAGATATAAAATCAACAATGTTTGGATGTACAGTATTTAGGCTTGAGATGTATGTCAAGCAAAACATTCATTACACAGCCAAATTATTGAGCACAGAGATTTATATTAGCAAATGATTATTTCTTCAAATATGGAGGTATTCTATTTAGTACAGAAGTGAAATTAAGAATCAGGATTCTCCATGTTTTATTTTCAAAAAATACAAAATGTGTAAAGTATACGGTCAACCAGAAAGTTCTGTCCGTTTTTGGAATAAAACAAAATACAATTTTTTCTTACCATCAATAAACATTATTACAATAATATAATTGCCATTATTAGTAATGACTTCTTGCCAGCGTGAGGGCAATTTGCATATCCCATTTTTGAAAAATGCTGTAACTTTTGATGCAAAAAATTGAGCTGGTGCTTGTTTGATATCTGCTTTATTTTTGAATTTTTTACCCTTCAAAAAATTTGTGTACAGGACAAAAACAAGTGATAGTCAGAGGGTGCTAATGTCCGGGGAATATGGTATATGTGACAGAATTTCCCAAGCCTAGTTCTGCAATTTTTTTGACAAGTCCCCCAAAGCAGCATGTGGTCTGGCATGATCATGATGCAGTACGATGTCCTTCCTGTTGAAAATCACCAGCCTCTTTTCTTGGACTGTTTGTCTTTAAATTGTCTAATTGCTGACAGTACTTCTCCAAATTGAGCTTTTTGGTTGGTTTTGAAAGATCATAATGTACTGGTCCTCGAATGCCTCACCATATACACAATATTCTCCTTCTTCGGGGTTTAGCTAATGCCCCACCATATACACAACATTCACTCCTATCTAGGGTCAAATTTGGTTTAGCTGTGATGGAGAGGGCTAGGTTTTCTGGAGTTCACAATATGCCCTTTCCCTTACGATGTTTCCAATGTTTCCAAAGGTGATCCACTTTTCCATTCCCAGTTATCATCCGGTTCAGTTAAGAAGGGCTTCATTTTGTTCAGAGCAAACAGAGATGTGCATATGATGACTCAAATCATCCAAATTCTTCTGACTTAATTCATGTGGCATCCATCTTGAATATTTCTACATCAATCCTATCTTCCGAATATGGTTCGAAATGGTTTGCTGAGCTGAATTAAGCCTTTCTGCAATCTCCGATGTTGTCACAAAAGGACCTTGCTCCAACATGGCTGTAACAACACCGTCGCCAATCAAACATGATCGCCTAGAACGTGGCTTATCAGAAAGTTCAAATTCACCTGTTTCACATTTTTCGAACCATCTTCTGCATGCCTTATCAGAAACTGTACCTTCACCAAACACTTTCAATAAATTTCTACATGCCTTTGTAGTATTTTTTTCTTGTTGAAATTCGTAAAGAATAAAGCGGCGTAAATGAACTTCATCAGTGGCCATGGGTACACTATCGCTTCTTACTTAAGACTAACATGAATCAACTTTGTTTTAGCTAACTTGCCACTTCAGTACATATACATTAAGTGATAAAAATAGACAGCTGAACATACAGCAAATAAACATGTGCATACGTGTTGAAAATTGTTGTCGTAATATATAACTTTCCGGTAGACCGAATATATCTTTAAAAAAAAAAAAGACTGCTGGTATTCAGGAAGTCCATAGTTTAGATCAGCAGTTCTCAATGTCTTGACTAACGTATACCATCTAAACAAAAATTGAAAACATTTAGTACCATTACTACAAAGTACTACTACCACATCACCACTCTCGAACAATTGCATAAATTAACGAATGTTAGAGAAAAAACTTAATCAGGATGTTGTTTAATTTTTGAATTTAATAGTTAAAAATACTTTACTTCTTTGCGTACCACCTATTTTTCTCTTGCATACCATGGGTTGAGAACCCCTGGTTTAGATCATTTCAGATATTGGACATCTGGATTTTGGACTTCATACTGCATCATATAAAAGCTGCATAAGTGAGGCATAAGAATTTTGCACTATGTCAAATAATATTTTTTGGAAAGCTTTTCATACAAAATAAACAACAGTTTCCAGATACTAAAGTACTTTTAATGAATATACTGTTTAGCATTAGCTACTATGTCAATAAGTATAAATTTAGTTACTTCATTTTTTAAAAATACATTATTTCTTAAAAATATATTAAATATACATTTAAATTATTTTCCATCAACTAGCAATAATTCCAAATGGTATAAATTCCATTTTGACTCATTTATTACTTAATTTTCAATGATGCCACTTGGAATCTTTTAGAATTTTAATAAAACAATTAATAATAAAAATCATGGTAAAAGTTTACAATTGGGTGAAGCTTGTTTATTGGCAATTCTTTTTTGACGCCAAGATCCGCATCAGGAAGGCACAATTTCAAGATGGCCGCTACACAAAACCAAAATAAGAAGTCAAAGAATTGCACAAGATCTGTGTCCATGTACACATTGATCTGTTTTTACTTAAAAAAAAATCCTAGAATTGCACAAACTAGGCATTGCGCACTGCTTTAAATATGTCCATGTACACATCAATCTATTTTCATTAAAATAAAATCAGGAAGCTAAAACAAAGTTAAAACTATCCTGGTAACCAGAAGTGAAGTTTCATTGCCAAAATTAAAAAAAAAAAAATTGTCGCCAATCGAAGGGACACCCAATTCTACACTAGAGCCAAAATTATGATTATCATTGATATTTGGCACTTTCTTTTTGTTCTGAATACAAAATAGGTATATTTGAAAATTTCTGTTTTTTGGAATGAAAAGCATATATTTGGGACTGAAACTGTTAAAAGATCTCCAGCTAGTTGTCATACTGAGAACTCTAGAATGAATGAAGCTTGGAAATCCATGCGTATCTTGTTAAAGCAATCACCAATTATTGGAAATTACAAATAGTTGCTATATCAAAATTAGCAATATACTCAAATGAGCAATGGAAGAGACAAGAGAGGAGAAGCAAAATACTGAAAGGATTTCTCAGTCATTCAGTATGAAGATCTTAAACTTAAGTCCTTCTTTATTAATTAATAATATCTGAAGTCATTTATGAATAGCACAGTATCACTACTGTGCTCTAAACTCTCAGACATGTTAAGTCATTTGGTACTTCTCTGTTATTAGAGGTATGTATGTATGCATTTGTGCATGTATTCATTTATCTACCTATGCATGTATCATCATACATACACATATACATTTTTGTATCCTTTTTCATTTACAGAAAAGTACCAGTCATTCTTTAGCAATAGCAAGTATCACTAGTGCGCTTGGCAAATGACAAGAGCTGTTTACAAACTCTGATAACCTTAAAGTCTGAACCTCATATAATTAAAAAGTATCAGATACATTTGTAGAAATATCAGTATATATTTTACAACAGCGAGAAACACAATAGCATGGATATAAAAATTTGCTATTTGAATCATATATAAATAAATCAAAATACCTTCAATATAACAAAAAGGGGGTCTATTTAAAACGTTTTGTAAAAATAACACAACTAGAATTTCCGAAATATAAATAAAATAGGACTATAACATAATTGTACATCCAAGAAACATTTATCAAGTTTTACTTACATTTTCTCATATTAAAGACATGAGAACGGTATAGTGTATGAGCAAACGTGCATAAACAAAAAACATTATAATGTGCAACATTAAGCTCAAATAAGCTATCTTTGATAATTGGCAAAATACTATCTTTTCAGAGATAAAAAACATGCAATGCCAAATTATAATGTTCACAATTTTTATGAATTCAAAAATCGTGTGAAGTATCTTTTAAAACAGAAAGAACATAAAAATAATTAGACGCCAATAAATGCTATCACAATACACAATGAATTGCGAATAAGCACACACAAACACAAAAGAAAATTTTTGGTAAATTTAAAGCCAAAGAAATTTAACAGTATAGATACATTTCCTATGCTTTCATAAAATCAAACAAAAAATATAAAAACATTCAATTATGAACTATCATCTTACTAAATGTGTACCTTTCTAAACACTTTTTCTTTGAATGAGTATAATTGCCATTCCTCACGCAATCATCACAATTAAAACATTTACGAAATTGCTTGCACACAGGACATTTCATATGCAGATCTTCTCTTTTACATGTCCCATCAATTATTGATATTGATACACAAGGAGAAATAATTTCAGGAACAGAATCATCCAGTCCGTCATCGCTTGAGCTCGCCATTAAATCATCACGATTTCTCCATATGAATCGCTGGTTGTCTTTGTCAGTGTTTGTTGTGAAATTGTTGAGTAGTACGCATGAGATGAACGTCAAAATTCTACTAGTTTTCTCTTGGGCCAGCAGGTGTCGCTTAAAATTAAATTTGTGAAATTTACTGAGTACATCTTTAATAGGACCTTGAAAAATATTTATTATGATTATATATGCATACAATAAATTTTAACGCTCATCATACACTGTATACATGTACTTAAATTTTAAAATTATTTCTTAATATTGCAGTAGTTGTATAAACACTGCCAGTTATTTATGATGCTTAAGGCACGAGAAGCTGTGTGATGGAAGAAAATTTTGTAAACAGGGACGTTTAATTTTTCTTTATTGACAAGTGTTTGTTGATTTTGATGATGGAGGATCATAGTTATAAAACGTAAGTATGATTTAATTTAAAATTATTGAGATATGGTAATCTCATAATTTTAAGTTGAGAAAGGCAACAGATTGTAAAAATTCGCCTATGTTCTCTGATTAAATCTTTAGATTCTATGATTAATATTTATATTAAACATTTCGTAACACACTATTACATTTTAACTGTTTTTTTAACATTTTAAGTGATTCATTTTATTAATTTTGTGATAACTAATAATTTATTTTCGATCTTTTATATGATTTGCAAAAGCTGTAACAGTTGGAGAAACTGTCAAATATATTGATTTTGACATCCAGGCATTTTGCAGTTGTATTATTGAACGTAGATTTCCATATCATTTTTAAGTTTGATTAAATGAAATGAATCCTTAGCCACGAAATCTGTCGTCTGTTTAAATTATATATGCGAGTTTTTATTGATTCTTGGTTTTTCACAATATGGTTTGAGATTTCATCTCTTGATCTTTAAAATTGATTTTTTAATTTAAAATTACGCATAGTATATTTTTTCTAAATAAGGAATTTAAAATGATTAAATTAAATAAATACTTAGTGAAGTAGTTTATCTGTTTGTTTTTCAGTAAATTTTAATTCGAGCTTAATTGATAATATGATTAAATATAATTTGTAATTAGGCTAGTTAATTAGGCAAATCACGCAGAAACTCTCTTTATCTAAAAACTACAAATGAAATGCAATTTAAACTCTTTAATACGTATTAGTTATTTAAGTAGCTTCTAAATAATTATTAATTGTTGTAATTTAATAACTTATATTTTGAATTAGTAATCATTACTTAAACTTTAATTTGAATATTTGTTTGTAGTTAAAAATTGAACTTTTTCTGTACCCTTGTATTAGCAGTTTTAAGCAACTTCCTTATAAATATATATATATTTTTTAGTAAGCTTTGATTAAGCCCCATGTATTATTACCTCTTTCAGTAAGCTTCCATTTTATTTAAATTTAATTTAAAATTTAAGATTAAATGTTTTTAAACTTTAATTATAGTTTAGCGGTTTCCAAACATCATATTTCTCATTTCTAAATGTTTTTCTAAGTAGAAAATAAATAATATCTATTCCGTTTGAGAGAGAAATATATATTGATTCTGAATTACTTAAAATAATTTTTTTTTATTTCATTATTAATTTTCTTGGTGAAATATATTTAAAAATATTTTTTAACAGATTGAATTCTTATGGCATGAATATTAACAGGAATGCAATGCAATACTGTGTATGAGGGTGACTATTAAGATGGATAGAGTTTTAAACATTTTGCACCCAAATAAAAATCACTAAGAATGCTTTTGTAAATAATTGTTACTAAATTACAAAATCTCTAACGATATTTAGAGATTAGATATTATGTATTTTTTAGAGCAAGAAATATAAAAAAGCAATTATGCCTTCACTGGGATTTAAATCGGGGATTTTTCAGTTTCCAGCTGAATGTATTACCACTTACACTACGAGAGCACACTTGAAGAAATACAGTAATTCCGATATTCTTCTCCACTTGGAGGGCAACTAGAGAAAGGCATGAGACTGTATGAGGGGGGGAAAACTGCGAGAAGGGAAACCCTGGAATTTTTTGATCATGTTGTTTTAGCCAGCATTTAATTCCTTGAGCAATCTGTTAGTGTGTCTTATCATTTACATAGTTTTTTTCACATGTTTACAAGCTGAGCTATTGTAAGTATGTATTGTTTTTAGATTTTGTTGCAGTATTACTTTTCTTATTGAAAACAATTTATTCAAAAGGCATTTAACAGTAACTCATATAATAATTTGGAAACTCGAAAGTTTTATAAGATGTCTCGACAAAAGATGTTTCTCGTCATAAAGTTTTGTTTTAAGTGCAAATACATCACAAGAATTATCGTCTGTATATGGGAATAATTACTTGTTTTGAAAAATTAACAGAAAGTATCAGAAATGAGCATGGCAAGGCTCTGCAGATTTATGAAAAATTCTGTTAGAATTTTAAAAAATCATCAATTTTGAACATGGTAAAATTATTTGAAATATCCGAAACAATTCTCGATGTAAAATATTCAACTATCTTTGATATTATAAAACGATGGGAATGGCTTGAAATTGTTGAAAAATCCACTAAGTCTGGAAAACATTCTTAACTAACACGAAAGAATCAGAGATTTATTCTACGACAAATTAAACAAAACCAAAAAATTAATACTATAAAACTGGCAGGAGATTTAGAATAACGGTTTGCAAAAAACGTTAACTTTGAAACTATTAAAACAGTCGTTAGGGCACATGAATATAACAGACAATCAGCAAGAAGAAAATTCTTCAACAAGAAGATGAGGAAAATATGTCTGGCTTTCGTTTGATTCACGGAAGGAAAGATTTATCGTATTCAAGCTAAGTTGTATTTGCACATGAGTTAAGATTTAATATAGTTGAGTCCTATACAGGAATTGTTCTGAGGCCTAATAAAGAAATGAATCGGAAAACATGTTGCCTACTTACTGTTAAACAGAGCGGAGGCATAATGGTTTAGGAATGTTTCACTGCTTCTGAGATGGAAAATTTAGTTTTTATAGAAAATAATAGGTATTCTCAAATATGTAAAAATTCTTAAATAAAATCTTAAAGCATCTGCGAGAAAACTGAGAATGCAAAATACATTCAAATTCTATTATGCTTGTATACTTAGGATAAGGATCCTAAACATACCTAAATATTCACTATCCTGGAGGTTATTATACAACTATCCTGGAGTTATCAAATCTCTTCCATACTCTCTGGACTTAAATCCTATCGGACATATATGGAGGAAGTTAGAAAAAGTATAAAGAAATCTGAAATTTTATCAAAATCTCTACTAGAAGCGGTTCTTATAGAGGAATGGAACAAAATGGAACATTCTTACACGAAGTTGATGAGTGAATCCATAATAAAGGGCACATTTTCAAAACTTTTTGAATAAATCAGTTGCCTGCGGGAAAGACAAGTAAAGTCTTTCACCAATATTTAGTATCTGATATTTACAAATAAAATTGAAAAAAAACCCACGTGTCCGAAAATGCGTGTGAGCATCTGTGTGCCTTCACTTCTGTGTGCACGCAGTATTATTAACTTGGCATACAAATTGACAACAGTTTTTTTTTTTTTGTTTTTTTTTTTTTTTTGTTTTTTTTTTTTTTTTTGTATTTAATTCTTGTTGGGCTTTGGTCACAAAGTAATTCGTTCATTGAACCCAAGAATGTTAAATTTTGATTCAATTTCAAATATTATACTATTCCAATGCGACAAATCTTTGCTTTCATAGATTTTGCAAACACGCGGCGTAATTTCTTGTTGACGAAGAATTTTCTTCTAACCATTTGGCTGTTGTATCCATGTGCCCAGATGACTCATCTAGCAGTTTCAGTATTAACCTTTATTTCAAAGCATTCTGCCAATTGAGTTGCAAGATATACAACACTAGCCTTGATTTTTCATTGATTTTACGTAGGGATAAATTTACGATTCATTGTAGTTAGCCCTGAATCTGGTCTTGATTTTAATCCCTTTTGAAGAAACTTTAACTTCCATTTTAATTCTTGGGTTTCAGCTTTATCATACAGTGTCCATCATCATCATTGGTAACGTCAAAGGTTTCAGGTAACAAATTTGTCGCTATGCTTCTAATGCTTTTCTTTCTTTTATACCTTTAAAATTGTCTACAAAAAAGTTATAATGTAACTTACATTGTTCTTTTTGGCAAGTGCACTTCGAATATATAGAATATATATATATATATATATATATATATATCATATATACAACGAGCTAGTTTAGAGACTGATAAACAACAATATACGGAAAAAAAAAATCTGAACTCAGCTGTGTAATATTTATTAGATACTTTTGCAAATAAATACCAAAAATGAGGATGTGCAAAAACAAATGCAAGCCACTGTATAATGTTATAACTTTGCTGTTCACAATGTTAAAACAACTCAACCCTATACTTTCGTAAACTGATTCATTCTTTTTTAGAGATCAGTTTAAGTTCGAAGTATCTGAAATTCGTTCTAGACTCACTTGTACTTTAGTAAAGTAGCATTTTTTTATCCTTTATAAAATTTGAAATATTTACTATTGTTCGTCTTGCTATTGCATCCAATTTATATGCAAAAAAAAAAAAAAAAAAAAAAAAAAAAAAAAGGTAAGTGAATAAATTTACTTTAAATTAAATAAAATTTTATAGGGTGGAAATGAGAAACGATCTGATCTGATACAAACCTTGAAATGTTATGACATTCAACAATCAGATGCAATAATGCCATTAAATAATATACCAAGTGCAATGCGAAAATACGCGAATAAGATGAAAGAATTATTGTATTTATTCAATAATCTTTAAGATTTTGTTTCATCACCACTGATTTTGGAATTTTTTACGAAAAATATTATTTTAAAATTGATAATTTTTGGAAAAAGCATTATTTATTAATTTTGTATAAAATTTCCTTACCAAAGTTGTAAAAATGTAATTATAAGCGGAATACTGTGTGCTGTAATACATTGATTAAATTCATAAATTAAATTACGCTTCACTCATTGATAAATTGTCTGCTGTCTATTGTAATCTATTTTGTCGGGTATATTAAATATATAAATAACAGAACAGGAAATGTTTCATGTCAGAATTAACTATGAACAATGATATCTGTTTTTTCAATGTGACTAAATTTTGAGTATTCATTCGAAGTATGAAAACTGTTAATCTCTATTATTAAATAATGAAGAATCTATCTGTATATATGTGTGTACGTATGTATGTTCCTCGCATCATGAGAAGCGGCGGCACCTAGAGTCACTAAATTTTGAAAACACATAGTCCTTCACCCTCGAAACATGTGCACCTCGAAACTCGAATTTTGAATTCCGAATTTATTTTTGATTTATTTCACATTTTGTGCAAATTTAATGAAATTTTGATTAACAAACTCGACGATTTCGGAGTATCGTGTAAGATACT